GATAAAACGAACCAACAATCTATAGTCCCATAAACTACAGACACTCTGATTCTTCATTTTACAAATGAAGATACGTAGGCACAAGGGTCCCAATTCTTGGTGAGCAACCTAATAAAAAAATTACCCATTTTCCCTTAGCAAACAAAACCCTTTTCTCTTACCTTTCTCATTATTTACTTAGAAGAAAAAAATAGCATAAGTTAACATTCAATCACAAATCAGACTAAGAGGTTTTAGTTGAGTACAACGAACATGAGGGGTGCTAATACTTTTCCCTTGCATAATCGACTTTTAAACTCGAATTTGGTTGCGATGACCATTTTCTTTTCTTAAAGGTTTTATAGATATTTTCCTATTCCTTCATTGGGATAAATAAAGTTTGGTGACGACTCTGTTCGAACTAATTTTTCTGCGTCTCTCACGAAGGATCATAACTTCGAGGTATGACACTCCACAAATAGACATTCCTACTAAACCTTAGCCTGTGCATGTCACAATATCTAATAAGGTCCCCATTATGTAGGAGAACCCATTGTTCATATGAATGAATAAGATCCTCAATTTACAAGGTACATCCTGAATTTTCAGGGTGTGCACCTTGCGATAAATATGGAGAGTCCTCAAGATGTTGTAGCCGTATAAAAATATTGTCCTATGGAGAAACGATTAGGGGTTGTGGAGGGGCATGATGCAATTTATATGGATGCTTTTGACATGTGTTTGGTGTTGAACTTGGTTATACCCCAAAAATTTAAAGTACCTAACTTCGAGAAGTACGAGGGTCTTAGCTACCCAAGGCGCCATTTGGTGATGCTCTTCCAAAAAATGGCCTCCTATGCCCATGAAGATAAGCTCGTGATTCACTATTATCATGACAGTTTGAATGAGGCATTGTTCAGTTGGTGCATGAAGTTAAAAAGGAGTCGTATTCAGCCATGCAGAGACTTAGCTAACACCTTTTTGAAGCAATACAAGTACAATATGGACATGGCCCCCAATAACATGTAGTTGAAAAATTTATCTCAAAAGATAAGTGAATCCTTCAAGGAATATGCATAACAGTGGAGAGAATTGGCAGCCCAAGTACAACCACCACTCTTAGAGATGGATTTGGTTGACATGTTCATGGATACTCTACAAGGATCTTATTTTGAGAAAATGATAGGCAGTGTGTCATCAAACTTCCTTAACCTGGTGATAATGGGAGAACGCATCGAGAGCAGCCTCAAAAGCGGAAAAATCCAAGACGCCTCGAATAGCCAGACTGATGATAACGAATTCCCTAACAACTTCCAATATAAGAAAGACAGTGAAACCAATGTAGTCATAACAAATGTCGGGTATTCTCATTATGCACCGAAAATACCTTATGACCCCCTGTCTTTTCAATAATCATTATTTCCAGCATCATACTATCCTTATGACAAACATGTGAGGCTACTCATTTCCATAATTGTCATTATATCTTTAGGCATTCCTATTGAGGATAGCTACGTCATTTGCCAAATTTCGTATGGGTCGAGCATTCTGATGATACATTTCCAAAAGAATGTTCATAATTATATTTTGTGCGGCTGATTGGGTTATGACTTCATCCTTATCAATCAATTCATTCCTCAATTCTCCATAAAATATAAGAACCTTCATTCATATGGGCAAGGAGTGGTTGATCTTGGTGTGAAATTAATCCACTATTTCTCCCATAGTGTGAAATTAATCCACTATTTCTCCCATAGTGTGAAATCTAAAAACAACTAAGATTTTGGTGATTAGAGCATCATATGAAAGTTCTGTTATTCAAGTTTATTTATAGTGGATCATGTGAAGAAGCATGCATTTAACCCAATTTGTGTGAAATTGATGAGTTAGTAACTATAGTGGTACTGCATTTTCTTTGATGATGACATCAAATTTGTCTTTCCTGGGGAGGAATATCCTTGTAATCAGACAGTGCGCAACACAAATATTTACCTTTCGATAGCTTGATTATGATATGAAGTTTCTTATCATCCATGGCAATCATAACAAATGAGATGATGACAGTGGAAAGTTTGAACTTCTTAAACTTTATTGGCCCCTCATAGGTATATGGCAATCAATAGAAGGACAACTCAAACATTCTTATGATTTAATCTCCATGGATGTTAATTTCTATCCCTTTTACGATTAACTTTAATGACGAATCTTCAAACGTTAGGTTGTAGTAGAATTCTCTCACAAGATTATGGAACATTCAATCTAGTACATATGTGAAGAATTCTCTTAGCAATCCTTGATATATATGAACGTACGAATTGAAGTTGGTGAGGAAATTCTCCTCTATAACAACGATTTGTATTACTTTTCGATTAGATATCACACTTCTTTCTTGATTTCTTGATGAAGAATTTCTCGATTAAAGAGTTTTTTTGTTAGATCCATAAGTGATGATACTTATGCATATATTGAAACTCACAAAAGAAAAAAAAAAGAGAAAGAATGAGAGGCAAAAGAAGGGAATACATTTACTTATTTATAACATTCCTTCTTATAATTTAAGCCTGCAAAAGCTTCAGAACATCATTGAAGATTTAGTCCAAAAAATCTGAGAACCAAGTCTTACTAAAACATGCAATCTAATTGGTTATGTTTGTTCCCTAATTAACTAGATCATGATGATTTTGAAGATCTCACATGTTTTTTCCATCAATACACTTATTTAGTTTACTCGGAGACAAATATTACATTTATTTTTTCTGAAGTTGAAATGTGTAGGTTATCTAATCAATTAGTTCATTCTTTACCAGTCACCTTGGTGTTTTTGAGGTTTGAGTTGACTTTTGACTTTGACACACTAATTTTTGCACTCTTACTCATTTTGTTTGCACCATTTTCTTGAAAAATAATAAAAGCTCATGCATCTTATTATTAATAATAATAATTTTATATTGATGAGAAAATACAAAGCACTCATTTATATGATGATGAGGAGGATCACACAGTTAATTCCAAGGCCTTTTGTCTGATGATTAGTGAAGCCTACACCTGATTCTAGTTCAAGTACAAAACACAATTTTAGACGGTGACACATTTTTTATATGCAATGTTAGATTGTTATTTTCAATAATATAATATGAATACATTTTGATGTGTTTTAATGTATATATAGTATTATTTGTATAAAAATTGAACTTCAAAATTTTCAGGTTAAAAAACATGTTTTATTTATATGTGAAATTGTCTGCTTGCAAAATTAGCTTTTGTGATGTCTAATTCCAGATTTTAAAATCTAAACAAACATATTTATTATTTTATTTAATACGTAAAAAGGTAACTCCAAATTTTAATTTTTGAAACTACTCTAAAATGACTTTGTGATGCTATTAATAATAAATAAATAAAGAATTTATATATTAAAATTTAAAATTGTTTTGAACATTTATTTTGGTGTGTTCAACACATATTGTAACCTAAGACGAATATTAAAATGAAGCCTCTTTAACTTCATAATTTTCTAAATTGTTAACTTCACCTATATTTTTAATTTCGTATACACTAGCAAATTTACTTTTTTTTTTGTTTTGATAAATTTATTCAATTTTTTTTTTGTGATTCAACTAAAGATTCTATTTTTTTTCAATATTAAACTTTTTGATTTAAATTTTTGAGTTGATATTTTTTCTATTCTAAAATAAAATGATAAATATCTTGCAGGACACATTAATATAAAATAAATAAAATTTAACAATAATAAAACTAAAATAAATTAAATTATTAAAAATAAAAATTAAATGATAAAATATTAAATAAATAAAACCTGTTATTTGTAATGCTTCTTTGATTTTGTCTTTGTTATTTTTTTTTCTCCTTTTTTACAATTTTTTTTTATGATATTTGATTATTTTCCAAGATTTGGATGAAATATGAGAAAGGTAATCAAGACTAGTATGAAAATGATGAGATGAATAAGAGAAATAGAAAGGAAAGTAGGAAGGAGATCAAATGTCCTTGTACTATCTATTACTATTTATTATGAATTAATTTTGTTTGAGAGAAAAGTGTTATTAATTATTATATTTATTGGATTGCAAAACTTCAAGAGTTGTTTGGCTTTTAAGTAATGGTTTACAGAATTGGTCAAAAAAAAAAAACGGTTCACAATAGTTTTTGTATAGAGAAATTACGACACTAAAGATTTTAAGTAATAATTTATAGAATTGGTCAAAAGAAAAGTAACAGTTCACAATATTTTTTCTATGGAGAACTTACGACACTAAAAATACAAAATTGAATATATATAATATAAATAAAAAATTACTTTTGAGGCTCTAGGCAAAAGTCTCATTTGCCTAGTCTATGAGCCGGGCCTGGACGTGTTTCAGAGTATATTGTATATTTTAAGCGAACTTAAATTTTAAATATAAAACTTAAAGATATTTTTTAAATTTCGCAAGTAACGAAATATTTTTAAAATTTTGTTAGGTGAGTAATACATGCGGTGTATTAAAGAATTCCAATATGAGATTATAATCCCAAGCCCAATTTATGAGAGCCCAATCCACACGAGCCCATTGCCTCTTTGCCCTTGTACCAGAAACAAGTTGCATTGGAGTAACTCTGAACTCATCTTCAACAAAGCTAAAACCTCACCGGAAAAACGCCGGCGGAATTGGCAATCATCGGAAGGAACACCGTCAGAATCAGCGGCAAATCCCAGGTTTTCTTCAATTCCTTTTATCTTTGGATTTTCCTTCCCCTCTCCTGCTGCGGCCATGTATCGCACGCGCAAGAATGCTATTCCATATTATTTGATTCGGCTGAAATGGCCAAATTTAATATCTTTCACTTCTTCATGTATGAATGAATGCATATAATTTATTAACCACTTTCTATTTCGTTTATTTCGTTTATACATTTTTTAATTTGTGTGAACTTTTCAAAGAGGTGTGGAACGCATGGTATTTGAAGCCTAATCAAAACTTAATGTGTGTTGGGTTGAGTATAGGAAGTTCATTGGGAGAATGTCGTCTACTTTGCTGGAAGTGACTCGGGCAGCACACGAGGAGGTGGAGAGGTTGGAGAGATTGATAGTGAAGGATCTCCAGAATGAGCCTACATCCAACAAGGATCGTTTGTTTCAGAGCCACCGCGTTAGGAATATGATAGACACCATCACCTCGACCACCGAAAGACTTGTAAGCTCGCTTTTAGGTTTTATTACATCTTCTAATCCTATCATGATACTCATTGTTTGCTTTAGGTTGAGATTTACGACGATAAAGACAGTGCTAGGAAGGATGAGATTGCTGCATTGGGAGGACAAACTGCTACTGGAATTAATGTTTTCAGCGCCTTCTACGATAGACTCAAAGAGGTTTTACTCTTTTTCTTTTTTCATTATTCTTATAATATTTTAGTTTCAAGAGATGAAGGCATCAATTTGGACTTTGGGCCCATCCTAATTGTTGTGATTTTGAGGGCTTTGCATGTTTTTCTGTTTGCGAGTGAAAGGCAACTGTAATATTAGATTTTAGGTTAAGTAATTGGATATTTAGGGCTCATTTATTTGTGAATCCTTTGTGTGTGTAACAGATTGGTTGTTTTGTGGTATGTGTAGATACGAGAGTATCATAGGAAGCATCCGGTTGCACGTGTTGTTGATGCTAATGACGACACTGAAGCTCTTCTTAAAGAGGAACCTCAAATTGAGTTCAGCGGAGAGGTATTGCTCTTTCTTAATCTCTCTCCACTAGTGTATGTTTAATCACCGTTTCTTCAGTGAACATGAAAAGACTGCTGGTTGCACTTCCTGAAAATCAACTTTGCCTTAGGCCATGGCATGTGGGATACATGGTTAAATGGTTAAGTCCAGGATTCTGATCTTTTAGGATTGTGGTGACAGGTCATTAGGTTTACCTCAAATCTGGCTTTTGTGATTGAACATTTTAATAGTCTCTCCGCGTGTTCAGAATGCATGGAAAAGTTTCTGTCTATTTGTTTCGGAGAACACGTTTACATTGAACGTGCAGGATGCAATCTAAAATATTATATTGTTAATAGACACAATATCTCGTGTACAATACGTACAACTCATGCTCCTGCAACTTTTTCTGATTACTGATTATATGAAAATTGCTTTTCAGGAAGCTTTTGGTCGATACTTAGACATGCATGAATTATACCATCAGTATGTCAATTCCAAATTTGGAGAGCCAATTGAGTATTCTGCATACCTTGATGTTTTTTCTGAAACAGATAAGATTCCACGCAAAATGAAAACGACCAGGCAAGTTGTGTTCTCTATTCATCTAATATGTTTGATCATTTTACATTTATGGGCATCGTAGTTTTGTATGGAATATTTATATTATAGTCTTTTAAATCCTTCTTGTTCAATTCTACAGGCAGTACAGGGAGTACCTGGAGAATCTTTTGGAGTATCTGATATATTTTTTCCAGCGGACAGAACCCCTGCAAGATCTTGATCGAATCTTTTCAAAGGTAGTTTATTTTATTTTGCCATGGTTTCAACTTGTAGCTTTTTAGCATAGTTGAGTCTCACTTTTTTCTCTTGGACTTTGATGTAGTTTGATAAATTTTGCCTCCTAGCTCTTATTTTTTTGGTGCACAAAATTAATTAATCTTTGTTTTAAATGATTTGCATTTGTTTTTCTTTCTGAAAGTTTTATCTCACTGAAATCCAGTGCAATGTTTGATGTTTGGGCTGTCAAAGGGTTTTGTAAATATGGTTATAATTATTGTCAATCTACTCAACTGTTTTTCTTTATTTTTATGGTCTTATTTGAAACTAACCCATTTTTCTATTTGAATATGATTCCATTTTCCATAACACTATGTATTGAACTAACAACTTAAAACTCCATAAATACTTGTGGTCCACATAAATATTGAAAGACTATGGATGAGCCTCCCACCAAAATCCGTCATTCCTCTACAGCTTTGATTGTTGCGGATAACTAATTTTGAGTGCTTTATTATTTGATTTTAAGACTCATTTATCAGTTTTAAAACTTCCCCCAAAATCTTTAATTCATTTGCTAATAATGGCTTATAGTTGCTAGCAGGGATCTGGAACAATACGTGAATGATTTCAGGAATAGAAAAAGTAAAGGAAAGAGTGTCTATGAAAAGCCTATTTATATTATTATGTACTAAAGTTAAACAGAGGTAGCATAACTTTGTAAATTTTTAAAATAATGGAGGGAGACGTATCTTATGCATTCTCTTGTAGGAGAGACTTGGGATTTTCTCCTATTTTAAAGCTTTCCGTGTCATTAATGATGTGCATCGTTTACCATCTAGTTTTCTCGAGTTAGTCGCACTTCTCTATTTTTCTGGAATCTGATATAGTTATGGCAGGTCACAAATGAGTTCGAAGAAAATTGGGCTACTGGAACGGTACATGGATGGGAGAATGTCAATCAGGAGAATGGACATGTACCTACTCAGCACACTGCAATTGATCTTGATTATTACAGTACAGTTGAAGAGCTTATGGAAGTGGGTCCTGAAAGGTTAAAAGAGGTAAAATTGAAGATTGTGTGTGTGTGTGTGTGTGTGAAACACTATTCTAAAACTGAAGACATACACATTGGTTTTGTTCTTGTACATGGTTTGTGCGTCTATGTAGTAATTATATGTCAAAGTGTTATCAGATATCTGTAATTGCAGCACTATGGTGGATATGCATGGCGGTTTTTGGGCTTACCGCAATGGTAAATGTTGGCCGATATTGTGGGTTTTTATGCCATAATCGGCTTTAATGGCATCGCAAAGCGTCCGGTATGGCGGGATTTTGTCTCTCCGCTATCCGCCATGGACAATACTGATTTCAAAATATTAAAAAACAGTTGGGTACTCGATTTGGGTATGTGGGTAAGACTGGAAAAAAAAGAAATGTAATTTGGTCAAATAAGGGTTAGAGCAAAATGTGACATATTGGTGGGGAGATTTATGGGATCCATTTGAAATTTTCAGAGATTATATTTAGTACGATTGGCACTGCTTAAGTGTGATATTCATAGTCATGCTTGGGTTTTATGATGTTGATTGTTGAACAACTTTCATCTTACAGTTTCATTAGGACATGTTTTGTTGCGGTGTTTAATTATTTAAGCTCTTTTTATTTTTTATTTTTATATATTCTGCTTATTTGTGTTTTTTGAATCTTTAATGCAATTTAGATGTTTATATAGAATTCAATTTTCTTATGTATGTATATTTTTTAAAGTTTATATTAATGCACCCGTATCTTAGACTTTTAAGAACTCTATCAGTACCATACTCAGATACCCTTATCCATGCACATAGGTGTTCATATTCCATCCACAATATAGCCGATGATGTGTAATACAAGGATTCACGCTCTCTTTTTATTAACTTAATATCCTGAATTTCAATATTCATGTACAAAGATTAAGCATCTTTTCTTGCCAGTCAATAATTTTAGTAGAACTTTATTTTTTGATAACTGATTCATTCTTATGCCTTTCTGTTCCGACTTTTCATCTAGGCACTGGCTGCACTGGGACTTAAAACAGGCGGCACTGTTCAGCAACGTGCAGAGAGGCTCTTCCTCACCAAGGTGATTTTCACTCATTAACCTTAAAACAAGTTCAATAAGAGATGTATTCTCACCATGTCCTTCCAAGTTGATAAGAAACTGGGATCTTCTTTCATCAGAGTCAATCATGTATCTCCCAAAAAGGCCCAAACTGAGAGTTTAAATGCTTTAACTAACATCAGCTTTGCTGTCTTTCACTATCCCAAGTAAAATATAGTATAATACAATGTATAATTATAGTCCCTCGAAAGCTAGATAATTGGGCCTTGAAATAATCCAAAATTTTATGCTTTCCTGATGGGATCTAATTGATCAAAAATACTTACAATTATGAATTTATTCAGAATATTCATTATTTCAAAGTTTCTAATGCTATGAAAGCATAGATTCATTATATATTTATTAAGCGATATTTCCACCGTACATTGTAAAAAATTACAGTGAAATCCTTCAAGCCGAGTTTCCTATTTGCTTGGCAGATGCCCTGGTTGCCTGAATTTTGATTGAAGTTACTTTTTTCCTCTAAGCTATACCTGCACAATCTGTCTTTACAGCTGAACTTAACTTGTTCTCTTTGGTTGTGTTTTTCATGCAGCACACACCTCTTGAAAAGTTGGACAAGAAGCATTTTACCAAAGGGGCGCGTGGTTTAGGAAAAAGCGGGGTGGCTGCTGCTCCACAAGAAGGAAATTTAAAACAAGAAAATTTGAGAGAAGTTGCATTAATGGAGGCCAAAATGAATAGACTGTGTGATTTGTTAGATGAGGTTAGAAAATGACAAATTAATTATTTCTTTTGGTGGTTTTATGTGCAGCTTTTTGGGCAGATAAGTTATAATGACTTCATGTATACAAATTTCTCATGTATAATTTTTATCATTTTTCTACAGACAATTGTTCGAACAAAAGACAATGTTGTAAAGAAGCAAGCCCTAACTTACGAGGAAATTGAAGCAGAACGTGAGGAGGTGAGTTGAAGTGATTTATGAATCCTCCAAATTTTAGCAATTCATAGTGCATACTTTGACCTTAGCTTTTCACACTACAGTTTCATTTATTTTTAAAATAGTACACTTACCAATCACATTCTATATCTTGGATGTCTTAATATAACACATTTCTTGTTTGCTTTGAACATCTGAGGATGGCTTTAATGAGGGACTAAGGTCCATGTGTAATGATTGATACTGTCATATAATTATATGTCTTGGTTCAAAATGATTTCCAAGATGCTTCGGTCCACTTCATTGCATCAATCATATTTATGACTGGTCTGTCTAAACAAAATGAAGATAGAACTTTTTTTCTCCTTCATGATTTCATTTTCATTGTTTATCATGAACTTCCTGTATCTATATTTGAATTTTGAAGGGGATGTGGAGCTGGCCTTGTATATATGGCCAACAATATTAAAGTTGATAAATCCTTATTGTAAACAGAATAGTGATGGTAAATTCATCTATAAAATAAAGCTAATGCTTAAGCTAGGCATGATATGAGCTGCCTCAGATTATCAGTTAAGCACACAATGTTATGATTCTCTGCATGCCCTAAGACTTGCCTTATATTGAGGATAGGGAATATTCGTCCAGAAATGGAATTTGATCTGCATGCTACAATGAGAGATTTGATTACACGCATTGTGCAAACTTGTTTGCAGTTCTGGCTTGAGCATAGCTATGAATCTTTTACTTCTATGTTTCTGAATAGAGTAATCTGTTAAAGATTGCATCATATGACATCTAGGCTTTGTTCAGAAGGTTAAGAGAAGAATGACTTGACCTGACCTAAATTAGTATTATAGGAGAAAAATAATAACTGACTGGAGAAGTTATTCTAAGGAATTCATTAAACCCACCCCCATTGAAAATATGGGTTTGAGAAGAGACAATTGTGGCATCGACTGTTATGATGCACAAGAATATGATCCTAATTGATTGTACCAAGTGACTATTTTTTTTTTCCTTGTGGCTAAGTTTTTTAGACAAGCTGAAGCTTTCTTTATTGTCGTTGCGTAAGTTTCATGGTCCATATTATTAACAAGAGACAAAAAAAGTCTCAAGCTTTCATCTATCCTCCTGATTCACATTACACTTCATCTGTTTTTGGCAACTTACTTCTACTCCCTTTTTCTCCCAAACATGGTTTTACTTATAGTTTGTGTAATATTAATATTTTTTTTTTTGCAGGAAGAGACACAAGAGGACTCTGAAAGTGAAGATGATGAACAGCAGATTTATAATCCCTTAAAATTACCAATGGGATGGGATGGGAAGCCTATACCTTATTGGCTGTATAAGTTACATGGTCTGGGTCAGGTATTCTTTATTTGCCATTGAAGTTTTGGAAACTGAAATTATCATTTCTTTTACTGAATTTATCTCAAAAGTATGTGCTATTGTTGTCTATTTATGTATCTTGACCGTCACTCAAGTGGTCCAGGCCTTACAAAATTTATCTCTTTCTTTGAGGAGCGGAGGGAAACTATCTAAAGAAATTGTTGTTATCGTCTTCCTTTGCTTGTTGGCAGTATTGCATTAGATAACTTCATTGACTTAAAAAGAAAATTAGGGACTTGTTACTTCTAGAATTCTTTATGGGTCACAATATTTTGAGCACTAAATAGTGTAATATGCATTTCAGGAATTTAAGTGTGAGATATGTGGGAATTACAGTTATTGGGGGCGCCGTGCTTTTGAGCGACATTTTAAAGAATGGCGTCATCAACATGGGATGCGGTGCCTCGGTATACCAAATACAAAGAATTTCAATGAAATAACATCAATCGAGGTTTGCATTTTTATCAGTTTTATTTCCATGTTTCCATACGTTGACGGGTCCTAGTTAGTCTTATGTGCCATCTCAAAATACCCGAATTCACATTTCAACAAGATTCTTGTGCAAAGAGATGCGGGAAATTTTGAAACACAATTTACAATTTGCGGATGTATACTCTGAAAGTCTGAATGTCTTTTCTGTTGGACATATTCTACAAAATACTATTTTGTGGAGGACTTCATTGTAGAGTGTCAAATCTGTTGTAGTGCTGTTAATGCTAGATGCTCCAATTCTGTTTCTAGTCATTCTATTCCTTCTATGCTATTTTGAGTATTTCATACCTTGGCAACAAAACCCTAATTAAACTATCTATTTGCTGGCATTGTTAAGATGATATTATCAGTTTTGAAAGTTAATTTTAGCAAGAACACGTCATGAAATCAGAATAAATTCACTTCTCAACAAAATTCGAAGTTGAAATTCTAGTATTGTTTCTAAATGTGACTCTGCTGTCCTTCTCAATTAGCTAATGAAAAAAAATCTATTTTGGTTTTGTTATTTACATGCGACATTTATGGTATCTTACACACAACCATGCTCTATTGCAGGAAGCAAAGGAACTCTGGAAGAAGATACAGCAGAGACAAGGAGTTAACAAGTGGCGCCCAGATCTAGAGGAAGAGTACGAAGACAAAGAAGGCAACATCTATAATAAGAAGACATACACTGATTTACAGCGCCAGGGACTGATATAAAAAGAATCTTCTTTTCTACTCTTCTTCTACTAGTAAAAGAAGGAAGACAAAAAACCCCCTCTTTTTACCTCATCTATGAAATGGAAGCAATTTGTTTTCAACATAATTAATAGGGATGATTGTAACTTAGCAAAATATTTAGAACTGCTCCGGAGAAGAGTGGGGACAGAGATGGAGCCATACCTTGTGAATTGTGCTGCACATGTGAATTTGTGCTGCACATGTGAATTTGTGACTGATATCCTAACAAGACGGGAGAAGAAACAAAGATTCTCATTGCTATTTGTACCAATCATTATACTATAGGTTTTTGAGTGACATGAGCAACTAAATATACTTTGCTATCTATTTATATGTCAGATTAAGTTTGCAATAGACTTTGCCTGATCATGGTGCATGTATGTTCATTAAGTGTCTTTGGTTGGAGCGGAGTGGATAAATTATTTTAAATCAGTTGTTTGCTTTAAGTATTTGGAGGGAGAGCAAAGTCTTATGAACCAATTTTAGTTCCCAAAATGTGTGGGTATTGGAGAGTTGGTATCTTCTCCATTTAATACACCCTTCAATTTGGAGAGATAAGCACATGTAGTAAAATAATACTTCTTCGGTTTCTATTTATTTACATGTCATATTTTTAAAAATAATGCATAATTAATTATAATTTCTCAATATTATTTTTAATTATTTATTAGAAAGAAAGTTTGATGTAATGAAGTAATAAATGGTTAAGGATATTATAGAAAAAAATAGTATAAAAACTAATAAAAAATATTAATTATCTTAATATGTTTAAAAAAGATCATGCAAATATTCCTTTACGATAAATATAAAAATACACATTAAATAAATATTTGTTACTAATAGATAAAGAAAACATTACACAAATATTTGAAGAAAATAAAAAAAATTCAGTATAGTTATCTTAACAATTTGGTATATAAATTTTGAGGTTTTAATTTGCCACTGTAAAAATCAGATTTGTTTTTTTAATTTACTTTTTTCTTCAAAAATTTGCAGTCTATACCGGATGGATTCCGTTAAAGATAAATATTTTTGAAAAAAATTGGAGAATATTGGAATTTTGAAAAAATCCAAGATTTTCAATTTTTATTTTACGATTTCGAAATTTTCAATAAATTACAACACTTTTTAAATTTTTGGTAGTATTGAAATTTTACTTTTTATTTTTTTTTATTGAATATGAACTATTAAAATTTTATTTTAACTTAAAATTTTTGATATAGAATTTTCAATAATATTTATAAGTTCATGTAAATTTTAAAATTTTCAATGTACTCAAAATTATAAATAACTATCGAAAATTTAGTATCTACTAGAAATTCTGATAGGCTTCTGAATTGCCTATCAAAAGTTTCTTACACAAATTTGTTTCAAATTCATAAATAATTTTAAAATTATGAAAATTAAAATTGGGGATGATAAATTAAAATCTCCTAGTGTTGATATATAAATTTTATCTTGAACATCCACTCATCTAAGCGTGCAATAAAGGAACAAGAATAAAGCTCAAGAAATGCATAGATTTAAGAAAAAAGGTAATATGATGATAAACATAAATTTATTTGTCTTCCTGAAGAATAAACTTGTGAAAACATTATCAATCTTTAATAAATTTAATAATACTACTAACTTTTTAAATTTGCAATTTAATCAAAGTGGTCTTATAGAAATGGATTTCATACATTTGTGTATTTTTCTCTACAAGACTCTGGAGTACAACTAAGAGAAAGAGTCACATCATTCATAACTTCCTCTCCAATTTTTTTCTGCGACATGCTAACAACATTTATTTTAAGCCTCGACCCCTCACCTGGTGATGGTGTGAATGATAGCTTTCGACCCGTAGTTGTTGATGTTGGCATCAGCTCCTTGTTTATTGTAAAAAATATTATAGCAATTTATGAGAATATATTGAAAATCAAGTGTTTAAACAACATTACAGTAAAATCACTTTTATGTACAAAGGTAAACCATATCACCTTTGCATTAGACCTTCTACTATAATCAGTTATTGCATTTCGTTGTCTTTTGAATGGGCAGGGTATGCTCCCAAGCTTGCTGATGTTGCTAATATAAAGAAAATAAAGAGAAATGTAGAGTAATGATGTAATGACTGAGCCCATTACACTAGTCTTTCCAATCACTTAATTAACATTTAATGTGGAAATGACAATTGCGCCCAAATCATTACTATAATACTATAATACTAGTACGGTATAATATTAAGTTGACTTAGGGTTGAAACTAATAATATAGTCATCTAATACCATTGCACACGACCTCATCCACAGTCAAATTTTCCATACACATGCACTGAATACGACAAACGAGTTTCACTCGAAACTTAGACCACCTCCACCGGTGATTGTTTCAATGGGTTTGCCAGCACGACACCCATCTTTTCACGTTTATAGCGTGGGGAGCAGCGTAATGTGAAGCAACAATAATTTTTTATTTTATTTTATTTTTAAATTTAGAAACTGTTAAATATAATTCATTGTGATATCATATGATTAGATTTGATATCATATGATTATATTTGATTTAGAATATTTTGGGCCTTTTATGTTTTGGGCTAGTGTAAATCTAAAACTAAAATAGGGTGTCTTGCTTTGTATTCTACATCACAACATAACAGATTTCACAGTTGCAGTTAGCAAGTGAAAGTTCAATAAGAAATCCCACAGTTGTGGGTAACACATTCTCTCCAAATACTTCTTCTTTCATTCTTCTCTTTCTTGTTTGTTATTCTTCTTCTCTTTTGTTGTTCATGATAATTACTTGTTATTACCATCATTATCATATTGTGGATTTGTTCATCAATCTTGAGATCAAGATTGAAGGGAATTCTTCATAGGGTGTGAGGTGAATTTCCAACATCTGGTACATTATGCTTTCTACGCAGATGTCGAACCAGTCAATGCAGCTGAGGCATTGAAAGATTCGAAGTGGATGAAAGCAATAATTGAAGAGTTGGAGTCCATCGAACCAGTCAATGCAGTTGAGCCCAGATTGCAACTATCGAAGGATTCAGATGAAGATGATGTCGACCCAACCCAATACAGAAGACTTATTGGGTCACTTAGATACCTTTGCCACACAAGGCCTGACTTAGCATACAGTGTTGGTATGGTAAGTATATTCATGCAGAAGCCAAATGTATCACACCTAGCAGCGGCGAAGAGGATATTGAGGTATCTGAAAGGAACTCTCGACTATGGCATTTTGTTTCCAGCAGCTGATGGAGGAAAAGAATGCAAGTTAGTGGGATACACAGACTCTAGTTGGTGTAATGATGCTGAGGATCGAAAATCCACAGCTGGATATGTGTTTATGTTAGGTGGTGCACCAGTTGCTTGGAATTCGAGAAAGGAACCAGTGGTGACATTATCATCATGCGAAGCAGAATATATAGCTGCTTCCCTTTCTGCATGTCAAGCAACTTGGATGGTGAACTTGGTCGAAGAAATCACAGGGAAGAACCATGGAGCAATTACCATGAAGATAGACAGCATGTCAGCTATCAACTTGGCAAAGAATCCAATAGCTCATGGTCGAAGCAAGCACATCGAAATGAGGTTCAATTATCTCCGAGAGCGGGTAGCAGAAGGGAGGATGAAGTTGGAACACTGCAGAACTGAGAATCAGATTGCAGATATCATGACGAAGGGAGTGCAGGTCGAAGCCTTCAGAAGACTAAGGGCCATGATGAATGTAGACAGTTTAGACACAATGAATTAGGTGGTGTGTTAAATATAATTCATTGTGATTTGATATGATTAGATTTGATATCATATGATTATATTTGATTTAGAATATTTTGGGCCTTTTATGTTTTGGGCTAGTGTAAACCTAAAACTATAAATAGGGTGCCTTGCTTTGTATTCTACATCACAACAGAACAGATTTCACAGTTGCAGTTAGCAAGTGAAAGTTCAATAAGAAATCCCACAGTTGTGGGTAACACATTCTCTCCAAATACTTCTTCTCTCATTCTTCTCTTTCTTGTTTGTTATTCTTCTTCTCTTTTGTTGTTCTTGATAATTACTTGTTATTACCATCATTATCATATTGTGGGTTTGTTCATCAATCTTGAGATCAAGATTGAAGGGAATTCTTCATAGGGTGTGAGGTGAATTTCCAACATCTGGTATCAGAGCTCCGGTTGAGAGATTCAAGGAAGGAAAATAGTGATGGCGATGAACTATCCGAACGGCAACTTTCCGACGACCCTGCCAATTCTCAAGAAAGACAATTATGAGAATTGGTGTAAGCAGATTAAGGTGATTTTCTGTTATCAAGATCTTTGGGATCTTGTGAAGGACGGAGTAACATCGCTTGGGGAGAACGCAACGGAGGCGGAAAAGGCTGCGCACAAAGAATTGAAGAAGAAAGATTATAAAGCACTCTTTATAATTTATCAGTGTGTTGATCCTGATAACTTTGAAAAGGTTAGTGATGTTGATTCAGCAAAAGAAGCATGGGAGATTCTTGAAAAGTCGTTTGGAGGCGCAAAGAAGGTGAAAGAGGTGAGGTTACAAACTCACAAGAGAACCTATGAGTTGCTTCAGATGGAAGACAACGAAAGCATTACAGATTTCTTCACCAGAGTTACAAGGTTGGTGAATCAAATCAAAGTATGTGGAGAAGCTCTGACGACGAAAGCAGTTGTCTCAAAGATTTTGAGATCGTTGGCTCCAAAATTCGACCACGTGGTAGTTGCCATAGAAGAGTCGAAAAATCTATCAGTGTTGACGAAGGAAGAGCTTCAAGGGACTCTTGAGTCTCATGAACAGAGGATGGCTGAGAGAGCTGCAGGAAAGTCGAAAGATATGGCTTTGCAGGCGCAGAAAGAAAAGGAAAGAAAAGTCAAAGGTAGCTGGAATGGCAACAAAGGAGGAAACCAGTCGAATCAGAAGAAACCTTGGAATCAAGGCAACCAAAGAGGTGATGCTGCAGGTAAAGGAAGAGGTGGTGGT